AGGCAAGGGGTCCAGCATGGGTTCACCACACTGCCCTGCTGCACAGAGCTGGCGTTCAACGGGCACTTGCCATGTGCTGGGCACCTGTCCAAGGCTTCTCTCTCCACAAGAAGCCTGTGAAGAGGAACCCTTCATCCCCATTTGTACATGAAGAAACTGGGCTCAGGAGGCTCCTGCAACTTGTCCAAAGTCCCAGCTAGTGAGGAGAACCCAGGAGCACCGGCCTGTCATTCTCACACACTCTCTGCCATGTCCTTGTCCCCTCTCCTGCGGCAAGACAGAAGTCTAGCACTGAGCGTGGGCCCCAGGGATTCTAGAACTCCATGGAAAAGCACCACGCAAGGCCTAGATTGGGACAGAAGCAGTCTCCTAATGTTGTCCAAGTCATACACACAGCTTGTAAAGAACGAGCTGGGCCAAGATCGCCGAGGCCGGAGGCCAGGGCCTGGTCAGGCTCCCAAGAGCGAAGGGGAGCACGGAGCCCGGGACCGGCGATCTGCAAAGACGGGAGAAGGGTTCGAACCACAGCTTCACCGAGAATACGTGGGATACATAGATTTCCCCGGCATTCAAGACTTGACCACAGCTAGCCCAAATCTACCCCACAGCCACCCCCACCACACCCAACACACCCCACCCCTTCTCCCCAGGAGGAACGACAGCCTCGCTGTCCACCCTGCGCCTTGGCCCACAGCTGTCTGTCCTGAATACCTCCTCCTGCCCCGTTCAGGCCCCTGGGCAAAACAGCCTGCCCCGCTTTGAGCCTTCCAGGGGCCAGCGGGCTCTCCTGAGTCAGGTCTCAGCTCTTCCCTGGACCCCATTGGGTGCACTGGGGCTCAGAGAAGTCTGCAGCCATGCTTCCAACCTCTCCCTTAGCCAAATGTCCCCTGAGCCCCCACCAACACCCCCCCCAGAGAGGACGCCCGCTCAGCAGCCTTCCCTCCAACAGGCACGATGAACCATCTACAGAAATAATTCGGGTTCGGGGAGGGGTTGATCCGAGCCTGGAGAGGTGCAGAGAGCCTTGGGCAAGCTCAGAGGAAACAGACACAGAGCAGAGAGACACAGAGACAAGGAAAAGACGACGGGTGGGTCCGGGGGCGGGGGAGGCGGATGAGAGACAGGAGCAGGAAGAGGCCTCAGACACTCAGGGACAGAAAGATGGACGCTGAGAGGAGGAAAGAGAAATGGAGAATGTGGGTGGAGGGGAGCAAGGTCAGACTAGGGCCTGGGCAGTGGGGGGCAGGGAGGGGAGCCTAGCACCTCCAGCCTCCAGGAGACCTGGGTGGGCTCCCGGCCCAGAACACCTGCTCCGTGGGGTAGCGTGTTATTCTTAAGGCTGCCTTGAGGATGAGGATTGGTTGTAAAGGCCTCTCTCCTACTGAGGCCAACATGGCTACAGCACGAGGAGACCCTGACCACCCAGATGAGCATGGGGCCATCACGGCCCTGTGTCAGGGTTCTATTAATAACTGTCATGGCACCTTTCCTCTCCTGAGCATCTGCTCCAACATGCCAGGGCTGTGCGGTCCACTGACAGCCCCGGGCCCACCCCCTCCCAGCTGGGCCTCCCACTCCCAGCAGGCTGAGGGCGGCCATGGAGACAGACAGAGTGCACACCTCCAGGCCTGCGAGAGCCTTCTGCCTCGTGCTCATTACCAGCCAGCTCTGTCAGGACAACGCCAGCCTCCCCACTGCACACTCCATGAGGCCTTCTGGGCGGTGGACCTCAGGGGCAAGCAGGCCAGACTCCACCCCCGCCCCAGCTGTCTCTTCTCCCCAACATGCCCTCCCCCAAGGGGCCCAGCCCGCCAACCTCTAATCCTCTGTCATCTGACCCAGGCTCCACCCTAAGTTGGTTCTGCCCAGCCACCTTATTGAGGCCCAAAAATGGACAGAGTCATTTATAGAGGGTCCGACAAGCCAAACGCAACGGGAAGATGACCTCATGGCACCCCTCAGCCCAAGCTCCCGGCAGACACTCTGCACCCCGGGCACTCTGGGAACGCTGGGGCTGGGAGGCCAGCAGTGACAGTGCTGTGCTGGCAGACCCTGACGACCCTTCCAATATATTCTCACGCCCTCCTCACGCCAGGGCCAGAGGCCGCGGGAGCTTACAACAAGCTCCACGCCGGCTAGAGCCACATGCACCCTGCTCCCACTGCCCCCTGGGCTCAGCCCAGGCCCAGGCACACGGCACACATCCCAGGCAGGATCTGATGAATGAGGGAAGGCAGAGGAGCCAGGGCACAAACCAGCCCACTCACAGACCTGCACCAGAGCTCCCGATCCAAGGCCCTAAACATCCTTGTCGGTTCATACACAGACACTCCACACCTGCCGGGGCCAGGTGGACACCTGCTCTGCTCTCAGGGAGCACCCAGACTAGCAGTGGAGGCGGGCGGGCTGCTGGGTAATGCTAAGCCAGGACCCATGGAGAGACGCACTTAGCTGGGGGCACAGGAGAGCTAGCCCCACAGGCACCAGAGGGCCAGCTTTCCTTGCCCACTCTGCCACCCTCTGAGTCCTGGTGGATGTCCGCGCTAAGAGGGGATGTGTGGAACTTGGGAGAGAAGAAAAGAAGAGGAGATATGGGACCCTTCTCCCTAAGCGGATACCATCTAGGCCCCCCAGCAAAGCCACTGCCTGCCCCTGGTCAGGAAACACCCTCCTATGGCAACAGGACAACTGGAATTGCCCTGCTTCTGGCTGATCTGACCTAGGTGAGGTGGGGGCGAGGTGAGGTGGGGGGGGGCAGGGGTGCCTGTGAGACCACCAACAATTAAAGTTAGACGTCGAAGTCAGCTGTGGTCCTGAACGCCCCACAGATGCTGAGGAGGCAGCAGGGTGGGCGGCACCTAGGCTGTGACGGACTCTGAGCCACAGGAGGGCAAAGGGGAGAGGCTGGCATGGCTGGAGGCCTCAGGCTTCCCAGGACGGGTACTGCAGCTGGGCCCACAAGCGACAGCCGAAGGAAGGCTACTTTCTAGACTCAGCCAGGATGGCTGTGGTGCTGCTCTGGCTTCTGAAGGGGGAGGGTCTCCGACCACTGCCCAGGGACAGAGAGCAGCAGCAGCACTAAGCAACTCCAGTCCCACACAGCCCAGGCTCAGGCAGGGCCAGCCCCTGAGCAAGGCCAGCATCCACAGCTGACCAGCTGTCAGCCCACTGCCCCTGGCCACGGAACAGGCTGGAGAGGGAGGGGTGGCAGCTCAGTGGGGTCAGCGATGATATATTGCCACTTACAGGGAGGGGACGCAGCCCATGCCTACTGCCCCTGAAATTACTGAAGGATGTGCTGCAGAGACAAGGCATCTGAGCGAAGGGCACACAGCAGGAGCAGAGGGGAGCCAGGGAAGGTGACAACAGTGCGGTGAGGGCAGGGCTCTTGTCTCAGCTAACCCTCTGCCTCCCACTCCTCCTCCTCAGCCCCTTAGGAGCCGGAAGCAGGCTTAGGCCCAGAGCTGCCTGCTCCAGGCACCTAGATGGATTACTCAGTCACGGGAGGGGGGAGGAAGCAAGGGCAGCAGCTTCTGCACCCCCCCCCCCCCACCACCTGAGCATGGAAGGCTTCCCAGCCCCCAACCAGCTATCTGTGGGGCTCTAATCCCTCCTCTGGCCCTGGGAGGGAGGGGGGGACAGCTGGGGCAGGCCAGATCTGGAGCTTGGCTGAGGGCCCTTCCCTCCCGGCACAGGCACCCACCTCCCCGCGTGGGACCACAAGGATGAGCAGAACTCTGAGGGAGGCACAGGGGAGGCTCCAGCCGCCGCCCCCCCACCCCATCACGTGGCCGCATCCCTAGGGAGCCCGCGGGTCTCAGCTGCAAAAGTCATTGTTTATAAACAGCCACAGGCCCGGCAGAGCAAGGCGGCTCGGTCCCCGGGCGGGGGTTCCCACTCGGCGGCGCGTCGGGCGGGAGAGGCGGCAGACCCCACTGGGGGGAGGCCACCCTGGCCGGAGCACAGATTCTGCAATCTCAGATTTCAGAGTCGGAGTCGGCAGGGGAAGTGGCGTCAGCTGCTGGCGTGATCCAATTCAATAAAGCAGAGGTGGCTTGGGATGAAAAGCGGAGCAGGCGCGGACCCCCGCCCCCCAATCCTGCATTTCCTGCACAGTCCGGGTGCCGCGGGAAGCTCTGGCTCCAGCCCCCCGCCTGCGGCCAGCTGCTCCCGGCGCTGAGGGGTCGGGTTTCCTGCGGCGCCCTCCACGCCCCAGCGGCCCACTGCCCGTCGCCCGGGCCAGTTCCCCACCCCGGCGTGGGCCCCCAAATCCAGAGCCGCCGCCCCCTCCTGGGCCGCCGGAAACGCGAAGCCCCTGCTCGGGCGAGGGCACCTCCCCGAGGGTGCGCAGCCTCTGCTCCCTGGGGCCCCGGCCAGAGCGTCCAGGCCGCAGGCACCTCTCGGGAAAGGAAACTCGATCCCTCCTTCAGCCGGCGGGGAAAGAAGGTGGCGAGGCGGGTGGGGAGCAGGAAGCGCTCGGAGGCCTGGAGCGAGCGCGCCGGCACCCGCGGGCCGAGCGACAGCCTCGGGATTCCCGGAGCACAGCGGCCCTGGGGGGCAAGAGGCAGGCTCCCTCCGCCGGCGCCGGCCCCGCCTGCACGGCCCGCGTGGCCCAGGAGGGCTTGGAGCGCCACCCCGTCTCCCAGCCTCCCGGCCCTGGGTCCCCAGAGCGGGGTGAGCCCGGACCTCGAGCCCCGAGAAGAGCGTGGGCCGCCACTTCTCTGCAGACGTGCGGCGAAGACACAAAGCGCCCGGGGTGGGGGTGGGGGGGGGGACTGCGCCCTTTCCTGCCCCCGCCGGGGGTGGGGAGACCGAGGACGGGGACAGGAGAGGGCGCCCAGAGCGCCGGGGACCGCAGCCTGAGGAACCCGCCGAAGGCCCTCAGCAGCGGTCGTCCGGAGGTGACAGCGCCCCACACCGGGTGAGGACCAGCCCCCGGAGGCGTGGGTCGGGGGACAGGTGGCCCGGACAGAACGGCGGCCGGGCTCGGGCTCGCTCACCTTCTCCTGCGCGCGAGTGAGCTTCTTCTGCACGTTGCTGGCGATCTTCCCCGCCGTCACCCCCTTGCTGCCCATCTCTGCCATCGCGGCCCAGGCCTCGCCCGCGGCGGGCGCCGATCTTGCAGCCCCGGCCCCGGCCGCGCGTCCTGCCCCGGCTCGCGCTCCACGCCGCGCACTGGCCAGCCGCGCCGACTGACGGAGGCGGAGCGTGCGCCCGGCGAGCGAGCGGGCGACGCCGGGACCGCGGGGCGGGGGGGACGGACGGACCGACTGCGGGGAGGAGGGAGGGGCTGGGCCTCCGGCCGCGGTCAGCTCCCCCCGCCCGCCCCCTCCGGACCAGACACTGCCTTTTAAAGGGCCACTCCGGGCGCCGGAACCGCTCGGCCGGCCGGGAGGGAGGGCGCGCGGGTGCGGGGCTGCGGCGAGCGGGACTCCCGGGACGCTCCCATGACACCGCCCCGGGGCGGGGACTCAAACGACGGTCCCGGGTCCGGCGCCGCCCCGCGCTGGGTCCTCCTCCTAAGTAGTCACCTCCAGCAGCCCAGGAAAGGAGGTCAGATAGAGAAGAGGGGTGCTTTCGAAAACCGGAGATAAAGTGCGGCGATTGTGCGCGCCCCTGGAATCCGGAGCCGGGGCTGGGAGGGGGCGGCCGGAGCCTCCTCTTCTCCCCGGGGCTTACCTCTGGCCCCACGCTGGACGCTCGGCCCCCTCCCGGCCTGCAGACTCACGGTCTCCACCTGTGTTCTCTGGGCGCCTCCGGAAGATATTCACATCTCTGTCCCCGGCGCCTGGTCCCAGGCCAGCCAAGGCGCCGGGTCTGCCAGTGTGCTGATAATTATTGTTACAATAACAAAACCTAACATTACTGAGCGCTTACTGTGTGCCCGGCACTCTGCTAAGTGCCTCGTCGACAGGCAATATCGCGTTCAGCCTCCACGACCGCCCTAGGAGGTAGGGGCTGGTCTCATTCCCATTTTACACGCGAGCCCCCGAGAGGCCTGCAGCCAGATCTCTGGCTGCACCCCAGGCTCTCGACCACTCTACCCTGGGTTGTCTTCTCTTCTGTGCTGGAAGGAAAGTGATTACTGATCGTTATTCAAAGAGAAGAGAAGTTCGTTGATAACCGTCTTTGCCGACAGACCAATGACACATTTGAAATGAATAAATATGTACTGAGACTACTGAGCCCACTCACACTCCTCCCCCAAATCATGCCAGGGGCTGTGAAGGAGGCCACTGCGCTGTGTGGCCCTGGGCCTTTCCAGGGGCCTGTGGGCTGAGTCGCTGGAGAGAGGAGACCTGGAGGCCCTGCTGAGGCGGAGCGGACAGGAGCCAGGCCAGGGGTCCCTGGGACCCTCCGGAGGAGCAGGACTGGCTCTTGCAGACCATACACCAAGCCCTCATGCAGGTGGAGAATTGGGGTCCAGAAATAAAAGGTTCAGCCTGGGTCCCGTGGCGGGGTCTCTGCTCAGGAAGGCCCCTGACCCCCTCTGCCTGCTCCTCCTGGTTCTCCCCACTACTGCTGCACCCCCGAGGCGAACGTCTTCATCAGCCCTTCCTCCTGGCCTACTCTTCTTCTTCTTTTGCAGAAAGACAGACAGGCTCTGGAGCTGCCGAAGGCCCTCCTGAGCTGATGCCCTCAGCTGACACCCCGAAGTGCTGCCCAGAAGCCCCAAGCGCTGCACGAATGGAGAACATTTGCTCAGAATTGTTCTTATAAACTCACGCCCGATTCGTGAGTTGCCAAAACAAAACCTAAAGCAGCTTTCTCCTAAAAGCACCTTTCACTTCACGATCTCTCTCCTCCTGATGTTATGTTTGTCGTTTTTCCAACCATTTCCAAGAGTACTTTCTTTCAATGCTCTCTGAGGAAAGGAGGAAATGAGCAGAAGCCACATCGTGTTACGGTCAGCCCCCAGGGATCAGTGGGAGAGTCTGGTTCACTCAACTCTGGCGCTTCAAAATATTGATTGACAAAAAAATTGGAAGCAACTTAAATAGTTATCAGCAAGATGGGGTCAGCTAGCCGGCACAGCAACCAGAGGGGCCATCAGGGGACAGTGTGAAAGAGCCATTACAGAGACCATCCCCGTTATGGTAAACAACCACCACCATTATGTAGCAACATGAAAATCATGCTTGTGGGATAATTACGAGTGAAAAGAAGACAGGAAACTGTGCATGCACTATCCTTGCAACTGCATAAAAATAAATAGAAAGTCTCCAGATCAAAGACCCCAAAGAACCATGCACGAAGGAAATAGATGTATTAGGGTCAAGGCATCGTGGCTGATTTCTTCTCCTTAATTTCCTAAATATTCTGTAATATGCTATATTGCCTTCATAACTAAAACACACACACAGCTCTATCTTTCAAGAAGGTAATTCTTATCTGATCTCTAGATCGGAAAGATTTTTCTACACACAAAGCATTGGAGGATATATTGAAATAAAAAATGTTAGTTTGGGGATGCATAAAAATTAAAATATTTTAAGTTCAAAAAATACCATTAACACGTAGGATCAAAGTTTGGAAGGAAATGTTCCACAAATGTTACTATTAAGTCCAAAGGGTAGGAATGTAGATTTTTACTTTCTTCGTTATGATTTTCTATAGAGTCTGATTTTTTTTACCGTGACACCCCATTGTTTTACATCAGAAAAATAAATAAACAAAGCTATTTCCCTTTTGAAAAGAAATTTGACATAAAAAATTAAATTGTAAGAAACTAGGGAAATGATTTTCAAAATAAAATAGAACCCTTACAACTCATGAGAAAAACGTTAAGATCCCAACCTATAAATGGCAAATGGCACAAATGGACGAGTCACAAAATTGGAGATTCTGATGATGACTAAATGGGTTTTAAAAGTTCAGTCTTACTAGAAAAAAAAAGGTCATTAGATCAGCGAGCTACTGTTCCCGGCCCCACTTTCATCCAGTCAGCAAATCGGTTTTCTTAATTACATTACTTAAAACCAGAGAGATGGATGCTCTCACATACTGCTTCTGAGAGTGGAACAGACAGAAAATTTCTGGAAAGCAATCTTGCAATATGTATTAAGAATCATCAAAATATCCATATTCTTCAACCCTAGAATCCCAAATCTAGGAAATACTCAAAATTTCAGCAAAGTCTTAATCCCACAGGTGTTCATCACATTATGATAATCCCAAACTGCAAGCATGCCTAGTTGCTATCGATCGTTGTCCAGGTGTGCTCCCTGCTCAGTCTCCCAGCATTTCTGAGCACTGCTCAGTCCCAGTCCTGGGCTCAGCCCTGCAGGATCGGCAGTGGGGGCAGGGAAGCCCCTTCCCGGAGTGAGCCTGTGTGCGTGTGCAGGGCAGGATGGGGTCTGGGAGGGGTTGGGCGAGGCCCTTTGAGGGAGGGATGTTGAAGACCTGATGTCAGGGGCCTTGACCAGAGAACAAGGGGAGCCTGCTGCCTGGAGGAGCCCTCAGATATCAGGGTGTGAATAAATGAGCAGACAAGCAAATACCCAATGTGATGTTGCCCTACTGCTCCTGCCCATTGGCGCTCAGGCCTCCCAGTGCCTGCATCCCTCCAGCTCTCCACAGGGAGACCCCGGGGGCGCAGCTGTCCGGCCCACCCCACACCACTGCTCAAAGGCCTATTACCGCCTGTGATTAACTAAACTATAGTATAGCAGTGCACGAAATGTTTACCAGAGCAATAATGCTCATGAAGGTTTTGTGATGGGAAATGCCTACAATGTGTCGCTAACAGAATAATGCAGGATATGAAAGTGTATAACAGTACAGTGCCAACTGCTATCCACATGTGACTGGCGTCTCTGGGTAGAGCAATACGGCAGGAGATTTTTTTTCTCTCTTCTTCCTTTTTCATTTTCCAAATTTTGTACATGTACTATTTTTGTAGTCAGAAAAGAAATGCTGTTAGAAATACAGGTTGAAATGACGAAGCTGTCCCCTAGGATGCTAGTTGGGAAACCACAATGTGGGGGAGCATGTGTGCCGGGCCTGCCGACGTGCACGTCTGAGCCTTGAGGTCTGGGGAAGTGATTGTTTAAACCATGAAGAGCTCAGATGAGCACAAGACAGTCCTAATTTACCTTAGAGAGAAGAGAGCAGCACCCCACGCCTCCTTCTATATTCTGAGAACTGAGGAAGAGGCTCTGAGCTGGCACTGGGACCACCACCACAACCATCATCATCATTCTGTCTTAGAAAGCAAGATTTTTTGTTTATACTGTTTGACTGTCAGAATAACCCTGTGTTCCATAGCAGTAGGACTTTTTGCCACCCTTTTATGGATGGAGACTCAGAGAAGACGGGTTCACCTGAAGGCGCAGGGCTGGTAGGGCCTGTGCTAGATGCTTTCGCGCCTGGCATCTCCAGCGTCTGGAAGAGACCAGCTCCATCCCTCCCTCCTGTGACAGCGGCTTCGCCTCTGACAGACAGGAGGATTCAGAAGAAACTAGAGGCAGAACCAGAAAGCAATTTGTCTTTCTAGAAGCATATTTTAGGGGAGCATACTTGTGATACGGCGTCCAGGAAGGGCTGCCTGACCCACATTATCCTTGCTCCCTCTCGTGTATCTAATGTCACCGTGATATTATGGGAGCGGCAGACAGACCTGGAATCAGAAGTCAGCTCCTCTATTTATCACTTTTTCCTCTTTGGGTATGTTATTTAAACTGTTTAAGCCTCATCTGTAATATGGGGGTAACTTACTTCTTTAGATTATTGTGGAAATAATGAATAATGTATATAAAGCCCCTGGAATATTAGAAGTCACTCTATAAACGGTGGCTATATATAGTGGGTGGCAGATGCTATAAATCTGGTCTGCCCAGCTAATCGTCCTGCTTTCTTTGTGCGCTCCTTCCTCCTTTGCTGTGGTTTGATGGAGCCTTGTTCCTGGCACCATGATGTGCACATATGCCTGGTGAGCCATTTGTCAAGCCATAACATTTGGGTCAGGGATGAGCACATGACCCAAGCATAGCCAGTGAGAGTCTTCCCTAGGCTTGTAGGGATATGTGCTGTGGGACACAGAAGTTCTTCTTTCCGCTAGAGCTGCTAAGATGGGAGGACGTGAGTCTAGAGGCACCAGAGGCCAGCTTGCCCACCACGTGAAAGATCCTGCCTTGAAGACGAAGTCAACAAAAGTTGAAAGTTGGAGGGATGGGGATAGAGAGAGAAACAGACGTAAC